GTTTAGGGTTTAGGGTTTAGGGTTTACGGCGTGGAGGAGGTCGTGGTTTGAGTGGGCCCTGCGGACAATGGGCTGCCACGCGTTGCTGCTGAGGGTTATATTCCAAGGACAAACACTTTTTACGAAGCTGAATTTGCTGCTGATGTTTCCTGTCAAAGGGTCTCTGCGAGTATACCAAACTATTTGGCAGTTGTGGATTTTGCTGAACGCCAGCTGCTGCTGCGCTGCTGCTGCTGCTGCTGCTGCTGCTGCAGCAGCGGAGGAGGAGGAGCCGGGCGTAGAGGGCGTCGCTGACGTTGAACCCCCGCTGCTGCTGTTGCTGCTGCTGCTGCTGGGGTCCGCAGCAGCGGCGGCGGCTGCTGCTGCTGCTGCTGCTGCTGCTGTTTCGCGCCGCGCGTCTGCAGGACGCACTTTTTCTATCAAAGCCCTGAAGGACTTTATCACGCCCCCGTGGCACACTATCAACACCCGCAAACCTGCACACAAACCCTAAACCCTAAACCCTAAACCCTAACCCTACACCCTAAACCCTAAACCCTAACTGACCTGCGCACGACTCTGCCAAGTTGTCCATCACCTTGTCCACTCGCAAACACAAATTCGCAATCGACTCTCCCCCAGAAGGCTGCACGAAAACCTAAACCCTAAACCCTAAACCCTAAACCCTAAACCTTACGCAGCCAGGACCTCCTCGACGCCGTAAACCCTACACCCTAAACCCTTAACCCTAAACCCTAAACCCTAAACCCTGAGCCCTGAGCCCTGAGCCCTGAGCCCTGAGCCCTGAACGCAAAAAAGCAAGCCTTGCACCTGTGCAGAGGACCTCATGATCCACACGCAAAACCCTAAACCCTAAACCCTAACCTAGGGTCTAGGGTTTAGGGTTTAGGGTATTTAGGGTTAGGGTTCAGCGTATCTAGAGTTCAACGTGATTAGGGTTTAGGGCATTTGGAATATGGCATAGTCAGGGTGTGAGCTTATTAGGGTTTGGGATAATTAGGGTTCAGAACAGCGAGGGTTTGTGGCATTTAGGATTTAGGGGACTTGAGGTTTAGAGCACCTAGGGTTTGGGACGCCTAGGGTTTATGGCAGCTAGGGTTTATAGCATTGGGGTTTAGGGTTTAGGGTTTAGGGTTTCTCGCCTGCCAAAAAAGCGGGTCTCACTGTTTTATAGCGAATTCTTCTGCATGCAAAGTCTCTCTCTCTGCATGCGTCCAGCGGGCCTCAGGGCGCGAGCTAGGGTTTAGGGTTTAGGGTTTAGGGTTTAGGGTTCAGGGTTTCGGGTGTGGCGTTTGGTGTTTTGTGATTATTTCCGCACTTGGGGCTGGGGTTTCGCTAGCGGGCTGGGGCTCGAGGGTTTAGGGTTTAGGGTTTAGGGTTTAGGGTTTACCTGCCAGTAGAATGCGTCTCTTTGTTTTCTTGCCAACTCTTCTGCATGCAAAGTCTCTCTTTCTGCATGCGTTTTGTTTGCCAAAACTCCTCTGTCTCTTTCTCTCAAATACATTTCCGTGACCCAACGCGCAGAAGGCAAACTCAACATCGCCGCGGTCTCCATCGCCCTAAACCCTAAACCCTAAACCCTAAACC